GCCGTCTTTTCAGGGCTAAGATGAGAATTGGTCAAATTTTGGATCTGGTTGCTCCCAAGGGAAAAAACACTCTTTTGTTTGGGAGGAGGCACATTCATTCTTGTGTAAAGCCCCACTGGGTTATTTAATACATTTCTGTGGGCTACAGATTATTCATGTCTGGGACACCAAAGGTTTTGAGAGAGATAACAGAGAGGTGTATAATTTATTCCGTAATCATAGGCTAAATCAGTTTCAACAGAAGCTCAACAATTGAAGATAACTGTTACATTGTTTACTTCCCAGAGTGTGTGTGTGTGTGTGTGTGTGTGTGCGCATGCACACAGCTACCAAATTAAAAATTAATCTACTTGATCACAAGTAATCACCATTTCACACCCACCTTCTTGTTTGTCAGACAAGCCAAAATTAGAAAGTACAAAACAAATGCACTATTTCTATGAAGGGGCAGAGAAAAATGATCTCTTAGGACTATGTACAGCTGGGTCTCACAAAATAAAAGAAACATTCGTTGGCAATGTTCTCATCCTTCAAAGTCACAGAATATGGCATGTGAGAGCTGAAGGAATTTTAGGATCCTGGAGTCTGCTCCCCCCGCCCCTCAAGGTCACATATAAGGAAATCATGGCCTAGAGGCGTTCTCATCTCTCTTCTTGGTTTTGACCACCTTGGTGCAGCTTCCTTCTACTCCTCTTCTTCTACAAGTTGCTATCAATCAAAATAAATGTGTTCTAGGAAATTATTTAAAGTGTTGTCATACGGGATTGTCAATACTGAAAACCCTCCCTAACTGGGGCCTCTCACAGGAGACTCGCAGTTACCGGGTTCAAACCTAAAGCAAAAGGAATAAACCTCTGAGGGAAGGATTTTTAAATATCATGGAGGGCAGTTCTTGGTGGAGAGTTAGGGAGACTGTCTTAGGTCCATGTTGTATCCTGTTGGAAAAACAGATCCCAAGATAGAAATTCCAGGTTTATTGGGAAATGTTTCTAGGAAAAGGCTGTAGAAGAGTTGGGGAATGGGGCAAGAAAGACGAGGCAATGTGAGTGTTGGCTGTCAGACAAAGTCATACGAGGGTAACATGGGCCAAGTCCCCACAGAGGAGCTCTGGGACAGTGTAGCTTGTGCCTTTGAGTTGTTCTGGCCACAGTGCCACGGAGCAGAGGCTTTTATCCTTTCACACCTGTCAGTTATTAAAGAGCTGCCCTGCTGTGGGGTGGTGTGAGTGAGGAGACTCATTTCAGAGACTCAGTTCTCCACCCTGCTCTGGATTCCAGTAACGTGAGGGCAGCCTTCCTGCAAGGAGTCAGACTGTTGCATAGCTACAGGGAAAGCTATCCGAGGGGATGTGGGCAGACCTGACAGCATCTTTGCAGACACCTCCCTGATGCCTTCAAATCATGCTATTGTGCATCCTCTGGTTGATCTTGCTTCCCGAGCTCATTAGGTAGAATCAATGATTGGGTCTTAGCTTTTTTAGTTGTTGGAATTTTTGTTTTAAACAAGAGTGGAGGAAAGGAGGGTTTCAGTCACAGTAAACCAAGCATGAATTCAGATTTTTGGTTGGTAGACTTTTTTTTTTTTTTGCCTCTTAGGGAGTATCAGTTTCCAGTAAGAAAACAACATAGCATCTATTCCAAGGAGCAATTGAAAGAAAACTAGAAGTGCAATAAATGTTCTAAGCCTATATCTAACTACCAAGTACATCATGGTGGTGGTTTTTCTTCCAGACTTGACTTCATTGTCCAACTCATTACTCTAAAATGAAGAATAAAAGAAGGAGAATTAGCTGTTCATGTAAAGCAGAGGGAAGGTGGGGTGGGGAGTGAGAAAGGATGAGAATGACAAAGGTGGCCTCATCAAGAGAGCCCAGTGTACCAACTTAGGGGGCTTTCTCAGTGAACATGAAGAAATGGGGCTGGCTGGTGTTTACCAAGCCCTCACTATGCTCCCAGCTCTGTTCTAAAGGCTCCTCAATGAATTAATCCTTCAAACTTCACAATGATGCTGTAAGTGGAGAAACAGAGGAACTTGTAGGTTACACCACCAGGAAGTGGCAGAGCCGGGATTCGAATCCAGCCCTGCTGGCTTCTGAGTTGGACCAGTGTCAGCCCTGGATGCTTAGCTGGATTTGGCCTCTGCCTATTATGAATGAAATTCTTCCTCTTGAGTCTAAATGACATGAAATCCACTTTTATTTTCTGAGTAGGACTTACCTTTCTTTCCTTTTTTTAAAAATTGATTTTTAAATTATTCATGGAATACACCAATGCATGTAAAAGTTTGGATTACAATATTACAGAAAAACAGTGATCATTTCCTTTGATCAGCAGCCCTAACTTCCTGTTCTGCCTCTGCAACCCACCCTCACTTTTATCAGTTCAGTGTGCATCACTTCAGAACTTTAAAAATACATTTAGATGCTTGTTATGTATTCTTTTATAATACATGACATGGTTTTGAACATTTTATTTACAAAAAATATATGAATTGTATGCTGCCTTGCTTTAGAAGTTCCCAAACTTTCTCAGCTTATGGCTTTCTTAGTATCTGGGTGATATTTCCCATTCCTCTACAGTAGATGCGCCAGTTCACAAAGGTGCTCACCCTCTTGTGCCTTTGTGTGGTCCAGGGACCCTCCTCAGAGCCCTGGGAGACAGCCACCGCCTCCTGGGTGTAGGCGCACAGAATGAACCTTACCTGTCATCCCTGGGAACAGAGAAAAGCTGGCAGGTTAAAGTTAGGCTAAGAAGGGATAAGGAGTTTAGAAGGATGCCAGGCAAGAGGAATTCAGAAAATGTATTTATATTTCAGACTTTCTTGGCAAAATGACTGGTAATTTTTTCCTCTGTGAAATAATAGCAATAGGTATGGATCTCTGGCTGCTGTTACTTGTTTTCTTGCCTTAGTTCTAAGTTATTCAATTTATTTCTAGGAAAGTAATTGCGTCATCACATACTCCTTTTATTATTCTCTGTGAGTCCCATGTATTGAAAGATATGGTCTACCAGTTAAACTACACTTAAGTAACACCACCGTTAGCAAACAAGCACTTACTGAGTGTTTTCCACATTCCAGCCACCTTTCAACTATTTTATGTTTATTAACTTTTAAAATCCTTACAACAACCCTACAAGGTATAGTAGCTACTATTACTATTCCCATTTTATAGTTGTTAAAATTGAGACACAGAGTAAACATTTTTGCATAAGGTTATATGGCCAGTAAGTGGATAATCAACACATTTTCCACTTTTCCATCACAGCTCTGTAAAGGACAAACATAATTTCTGATTAGAGGAGAAAATCAAAAGTAGAACGGTAATTTCCAGGGGCTTGGAGGAAGGGGAGAAAAGGAGGGTTGTAATTTCGTAGGTATAGAGTTTAAATGTTTCAAGATGAAAAAGTTCTGGAGTTAGACGGTGGTGATGGTAGCCCACCATTATGAATGTATTTACTAGCACTAAATTGCACGCTTTAAAATGGTTAGGGTGGTGAATTACATGTTACATGTATTTTACCACATTAAAAAATTGGGGAGGGAAAAAGAAGATAACCAGGGTTCCCAAAGTAAGTTGATATAATTTTGTCCATATGCAAAGAAACTTGCTATTTTAGCTTTTCTGTGCAACCTGTCAGGAGGAAATGTGTGGTTTTCTGTTAGATTCTTCATGACATTGAGATAGTAAAAAGACCCCCATTCTTGTCTTTTGAAGACCACAGAGCCCTGACACGCTGGATTGGAAACAACTGATCCGGCCACTCAATTTTTCAGTTTCTGGTGAAAGAGTGGTTGTTCATTGTAGAGAAGAATACTTTTTAGAGTGAACCAATCCATCAGGAGGCTGCAGAACCAGGAGTAAGGAAGGACCCATGCTCTGGAATTCCACTGCACGTTGGCATTACCATTTAACATCCTGAGTCCTAGATTTCTCATCTGTAAATGGGGTGATAGTGATGGTCCGTGGAGCAGCACCTGACAGTAAATACTCAGCCAACTCTTATTAAACTATATAGTTAGGCATTATATCAAGCAATAGTGATAACACAGAACCTTGAGGCTTACTGGGTGACACAAATGAGGTAAAGTGAAGTATTTAAGTGTTCAACTGATAAGTTTCCTCCTCCTCTTTGCTCACCAAGCAGGTGACCCATCAGTGAGGTCTCCCAGACCTCTGATGGAAACACAGTGGCAGCTCTTAGTGTCTTCATAAACTGTAGGTGTAGAAAGTGATGCCTTCTGCTGTTCCCTAAGTGGCTTCAGACACATCATGTGATGTCAAAAACTGCCCTGACCTCCACATGGTGAAGCGACCTCCACACAGTGTGGAAAGAGCTGGTTTCTGGGGCCAGCATGGTGTTGCTTCAAACACCTGTCTGTAACATAATTCTGGGCTACCCAGGTCTTTGAGTTCCTTTTTTTTGTGTGTGGTGAAGCTGATTTTCCTTCTTGATGACCTCAGGCCTTTGAAATGAGATTTGAAATCATTTGCTCCTCCCTGGTGCAGAGGAAGGCCTGGCTTTGTGTGTGTGGTGGGGCGAATGCTGGCTTGGCTCCTATTAACCTGAGAGGAGGCGACCTTAGGGAAGAGGAGCTGGGTGCTGATGATGTCTTGAACTGTGACTCTCTGAGGTCATATATGTCAAAGTCTTTAGCCATCTGTGGCTTGCCCTGGGCAATGGAGCACAAAGAACCACCTAGGAGTCAACTAGAGCCACTAGAACATCCCATTTAAGTACATGTTCTCTTTCTTCTCTCTTAGCAACTCTGACTCAAATACTACTCAGAAGGTATTAATTCTCTGCAATTTATACCCTTGCCTGTGGTATTATTGTTGCCAAATGGTTCATGCCATTCTTCAGAGGTAGAACACTAAGGAATATCTATAGGAACCAAGGCAGTACTTTAGAAAAAGAATATCTTTATTAAATTCCTTTTGGTTATTAAGTATGCATCGTATGGTCCAACCATTTGACCCACAATCTCTTTTTTCTCCCCAGCACTGGCTTGAACCTAACAAGTCCATCTTCAAGCAAATGAAATGTAAGTGTCAATCTGTGGGTTCACTTTTGCTGTGAAATGTCCAGAGATAGATGCTGTCTCTTGACAGAGTTTTTCCTGCCAGGGAAGAAATTGCTTTAGTTGAAGGTCTGTGGGTGGGTGGGGTTTCTCTCTCCAAGCGAGAGCTGTGCGACCTCTTATTTGCTGGCCTCGAACCTCCTTACAGGCCCTTTCCTTCTAGCCCCGGGTCTTTCCCTCTCTGCCATTTTACCCTCACATCATATTTGAATACGGGAATTAGATTAGATGGTTAAACACCTGTTAAACACAATCACCAAAGGCCGGGTTCCTTCTGATTGTGGGGGTTGTTAGAAAATGGTTCAGGGTGGGACATGTGCAGCCTTGGGGGTGGTGTATTTTGAAACTAAAATCAATCTTCCTGGTGACTTCACTGAAGGGTGTAGTATAATTTTCCACCCCTCAAACTCACTAAGATAAATGGTTTCTTTTTGAGTAATTGTTTCCAAGCTCTGGTGTTCCGACCTGCCCTTTAAATTAATTTTTTTCTCTGATGAGCTCTTGGAGAAGTTGGTTTGGAAACTCACTCTTTAGAATATCTGGCTGTCCACTTAAGGCACTGTGACGAGGGTGTTCACTGGTGGTCCTGGGTGGGCATGATGTTTTCTCCTGGTTACCCGTGCCAGGCTGCAGTCAACCTGCTTTTATTTATGGTTTGGAGGAGAGCTTTCAAAATGCACCTCAGAAATGTATAACCTGCCCTGAAACTAATTTATCCCTTTATGCCAACTTTCCCAGGGCCCTGAAATGTAGGTGATAAATCAGTTTCTCCTCGGAGATCAGGTTAGCACACATTATGTCACTTGTCATCATTCAGGGGATTCTTTTCTTCCTCCAAAATGAAGAAATTATTCTGGGCAGGGTTTTAAGTGGAAGGAAGAAGAAACTGAATGTGGATGGCACACTAGCAACAGACATATTTATTCCTCATTGTCTTTTTCCCTCCCTCTTCCCCTCTTCCCATTTCTCCCCTTCCCTCTCCCATCTCTCAAGAGCAAACTGTCTAGCCAGTGAAGGAAAGACAGAAAGCTAATGCCCATGGCTCCTGTGAGTGATGGGTACTGCAGAGAGATCACAGTAAAGATGCATGAGATGAAAACAGGGACAGCAGTGAGCGTGGGAGGTCCAGGGAGGTCCGTCTGTTGGGGTGAGTCTGGAATAGAGTTGAGATGAGTAGCTAGTAATCACCAGGACGGAGGTACTGGGAAGCTCCGTATAGAATGACTTGCAGGACAATGAAAATGAACTATCGTGTCTGAGCAAAAAAATAACTGATGCCTAGATTTTATCCCCTAACGACTAAGTTTTGGTATTTTTGTTTACATAGTTTAAAATATTTAGGCAATTTCCCAGGACACTTATTTATAGTAAATGGTTCTTTGATTTTGGTTCTTAAATGTCATGAAATATTTTCCTTAGGCTGCACACAATTTTGAAGTGTAAATCTCTCTGTAAAGTAAGATGTATTTCACCACTTAATGGGAGAAAAATTTAAAACTTGTGAAGAATTTGCTGCTTAAAGAGCTTTGTCTCTACCATTAGTAAATCTGAACAGCTGACACAAAATTTATAGTGTTGGCCAAAAGTGATATAAAGAGTGACATTTGACTACTGGCCAATTTTAATTTAATGATGAATGGAATCTGAGTCTGGAAGAAAGAACTGTGTAAAATTCAATATCTAAACCAGACACAGTGACTCCCCAATTCCAGGAACTGGCAGGGGTCTTCCTACCCATCACCTGGTCCCCTGTTGTATTAAGGATGTTAGTGAAGAAAATTTATGTAATTTTCTCAGATCACAAACCTAATTTTGTTGTTATTGTTTTCTCTTAGTATCAAGAATTTCTGCAGTCTTATACCTATGTCCTGGAAACAATAACTTTTATGTAAATTAGAAAAAAATATGTAAACTTATAAAATGAGCTTATAAAATGTTAACTCTGGGAAACTGGGTCCAAATCCTGGTACTTATTTATGAATTTATCAAAAAGATCTTGTTCCAGAACCCCAGACAGCTTCCAGTTTGGGTGTGGGCATTGCTTTTATACTCGGACCGCCTTAGAGTAGGCGGTGAGGACTTAAGTCCTTGGAGGAACAGCTGCTGCCATTCCGGCCTCACTCTGTAGAGCGATGCCCAACTTTCAGGTCATTTGCTCTGATCTCATAAGATCCCTCTGACTATGGGGGTTCCCAGGAATGGTGTTTGCCGGGGTTGGCAGAAGATCGGCTGTCCTGGTTAATAAGCTCTGTACAAAGGCATTATTATTTCTTACTAGTATTTTTAAAAATTATCTTTAATAATGTAATGTTTGTGGTTTTTCTAACAGTTCAGAAAAGTTTAAAATGAAAACTGTAGGTTTTTTTTCTTTTCCTCCTAATATCTCCAAGCCCACCCTGAAGAAATAGCTGTTGTTAACAATGTTTTATATGTACTTTTAGAAACTTTTTTATGTTATATAAGCTCTCTCAACATATTTAAGGCCTTTTAGAAACAAATACAAGATAAATCTCTATATTATTCACCTTGTTATGTTCTTAATGATTTTAGAGGTTCTTTCCATATCAGTGATAGATGATCGGTTTCATTTAAAAATGGTTTTCTCCACTATGAAAAGCAGTATGGAATTTTCTCAGAAAACTAAAAATGAATCTGCCTTTTGACCCAGCAATTCCACTGCTAGAATTATATCCTAAGAACCCTGAAACACCAATCCAAAAGAGCCTATGCACCCCAATGTTCATAGCACAATTTACAACAGCCAAGTGCTGGAAGCAGCCTAGCTGCCCATCCATAAATGAATGGACCCAAAAACTATGGTACATTTACACAATGGAATTCTATGCAGCAAGAAGAAAGAAGGAGCTCCTACCCTTTGCAACAGCATGGATGGAACTGGAAAGCATTATGCTGAGTGAAATAAGCCAGGCACTGAAAGATGAATGCCATATGATCTCACCTTTAACAGGAACCTAATCAACAAGCAAAATATAACCAAAGACATTGAAATAGAGAACAGGCTGACAGTGACCAGAGGGAGAAGGGAGGGAATTTCAGGAGAAAAGGGGAAGGGTTTGCAGGAACAAGTATAAAGAACACATAGACAAAAACAAGAGGGTGTGTGGAAATGGGAGGGAGGTGGGGAGGGCTGGGGGGATGGTCTGGGATGGGAGTAAAAGACAGAAAACTGTACTTGAACAATAATTAAAATAACTAAAAAATGGTTTTGTGATAGTTGTATGCATGCATGTAATTTATTAATGGACATCAAAGTTGGGTCTAGCCCTTTACTGTTATAAACTGTGCTATGATAAATAGGCTTGGATGTACAATCTTCTTGTACATCCATACTAGAAATTACTAGAAGTGGAATTGTTGGATCAAAAGCTGTACACATTTACATTTTCCTTAGTGATAAATGTCCATTGGAAGAGCTTATAATTTGCTGCCAATGTTATGAGAGTGCTTGTTTTCTAAAATATTGTTGAAAATAGATATAATCAAACTTGTTTTTATGGTGAGTTTTTCCTCCATTCCCTTCCCCAGAATGGCATCATGTGTCAGGGAAGCTTATGCACCATCCCGGCAGTGATGGTGACATCTCTCTAGTGTGCAGTCCTCTGTGCTCCCCCTCACAGCTAATGTGGTTTGGCCTTTAGTTACTGGCCTCTTCCCCACTCCTCCTCTCCGGGTGTAACTAGCCTCATCAGCCTTTGAGTGCACTGGCGTGTGCTGCTGCCTGTGGCTCCTGCCATGGTCTTGTCCTGCAGGTCTATAGCCGTTGCCCTCTTGTTGTCCCCACTTCAGGTCTCTTCACTGGTTGACTTTCGACACTTCTGTATTCACCACTGGGACCAGTAGAAACTGCTCAGCCTCTTCCAGGCCCTGCTTCAGCCTCAGGGACACTTGTGTACTTGAGCTAAATGTTCCCTCTCTGCTTACACACGGCCTGCTGCCACTTCTCCAGTACTCTCCAAAGTTCCAAACACAACACTTTCCCTCAACTCTGAGATTTCTTTGTCTTGTTCCCCTACATCTCACTCCATTCATCCAGGTCTAGGGTACTGAGGGGTGCTGGATGCCTTCTCAGAGCTCCGGTAGCATCTTAAACTTGGTATTGTCCTCTCTGCATCTCTCCAACTTCTGCACCTGCCTTCCTTTCCCACCTCCTCCCCACAACTAATAATGGCCTTTGTCCTTGGGTACTAGGTTGACATCCTAAAATAATGGTTTTCTCACACAGGCAGTAACTGTTTATCAAATATAATGGGGGAAAGTGCTGTAATTTACAACAGCAATAACAAGAAAAAACAAATTTCTTGTAAATTTACCAAGAAATGTTCAAGACTTATGTAAATAAAACTTATTTTTTACTGTGGTGTTACTGTAGAGTAGATGAAAAAGAGCTCAATAAACAGACTTCTCTCATGTTTCTGGTTAATACTGTTAAAGTCAATTCCTTACCATTAATATACACATTCAATAATTTTTCAGATCAAAATTTCAATGAGATTCTTTATGGCATGTAGCAAACTGATTCTGTGGCTCATCAGTGAAAGAAAATGCTCAAGATCAGCCAATCAATACAGGCTGGGGCAAAAGTAGGTTTACAGTTGTGAGTACAGGAAACAATTTTTTTCTTTTAAAAATAATTTTATTTTCTGAGAGAGGGGAAGGTAGGGAGAAAGAGAAACATTGATGTGAGAGAGAAACATCAATTGGTTGCCTCTTGCATGCACCTTGACTAGGGGTTGAACCCGCAGCCCAGGTATGTGCCCTGACCAGGAATCAAACCAGTGACCTTTCACTTTGCGGGATGACGCCCAACTAACTGAGCCATACCAGTGAGGGCCAGAGTTTATTTTTGTATTACTTAGTAGTTACTGTACTATTTCCCACATGAACAACTGTAAACTACTTTCCCCCCCGCACCCTGTATGTGAAGAACAGTAGGGTCCTTTGTC